ACACACACACACACACACACACACACACACACACACACACACACACACACGGGAAAAATGCCCCCACCCCCATCCTGGGCCCTAACAACATACTTCTTTATCAGAGGTTCATTGTCAATCAATTAGCCCAGGCAGCAGGGGTCTGTAAGGTGGGGGCCCCCAGGGAAACAATGGGCAGCCCTGTGTATTACTATTTAATCACTTTTGCTAAATAAATAGAGCAGCCCTGAGGTGCTGTCATGTCGAGGGAATTTACAACCAAAAAAACTTCATTTTTCATTGGTCATTACTTTTTTCCCTTCGGGACAAGAGAGGGTTATTACTGTAGCCTTAAGTTCCATCTTTGTGTTTCTGCCTTTGATTCCCACTCGGACCCTGCCACTTTCTGGCACTAATTTGTCAGGCCGAACAAAGAGGGGATTTGTGCCTCCTGTAAGGTCTCAATTAGGAATGGCTTCTGCTGTATTGTGTTCCATTCAGAGAAGACACAATGCCAGTAATTACAGGAATTTGCACTAAATGGCTGAAGAATTCACAGCAAAACTCTCCCTCGCTCCTTGGGTTTACCCCTCCCAAGGGCTGGAGCGAAAAGAGGAAAGCAAAAAGCCCTTAATGATAGAGAGATGTAATTACCAACAGAAATCCCAAGAGGTTAAACAGCAGCCAAAGGAGTAAAGCCATAAAAAGTGACAGCGTGAAACTGGTGGAGGGGATCCCGAGCCTTGCTGTTTTTCTTGCTGTGTCTTCAGTTAACACGATCAACTTCCATTCTGAACCAGGAACGCTGCCCCACAGCGCGCCATCCAATTTCATCTCCAGATTACAAAACAGGCACACAGGAACAGTTTCAAAGGTGGGCTTTCCATCTCTAGTTACACCTATAAACAAGTCCTTGGCCCTTTTATTATAGTGGTCAATGCTAGGTTCTTGATTGCTGGAAAATTACAGGACAAATATCTGTGTGCCAGTGCCAAGAAAACCATGTAAATAGGTAGGTCCACGTGTCAAATTCCTAAAGAAGACAGAGCAGTTTAGAAAGGAGGGCTAAGTTCTAGTGTCCTATAGCACTATAGGGTGACCACAGTTCACAGTAATATATTGTTTCAAACTGCTAGAAGAAGGATATTGAATATTCCCAACACAAAGAAATGATAATGTTTGAGATGATGAATATACTATTACCCCTGACTGATCACTATAATTACAAGTATTACAATATCACTATGCACCCCACAAATAAGTATAATTATTGTGTCAACTAAAAAGTTTTTTAATAAAAACATTAAAAAATTAAAAAAAAAACAGAACTGCTGCCTTCTAATCCAATTTATACGGCATTTTTGTGAATAACCTAATTTAGAACCTTTTTTTTTTTTTTTGGAGTCGGAGTCTCACTCTGTCACCTAGGCTGGTGAGCAGTGGCACACTCACAGCCACCACTTCAGCCTTCCAAGCAGCTGGAACTACAGGCGTGCACCACCACGCCCACCTAATTGTTTTAAATTTATTGTAGAAACGAGGTCTCGCTATGTTGACCAGGCTGGTCTCGAACCCATGGGCTTAGGCAATCCTCTCGCCTCTGCCTCCCAAAGTTTGTGCTGGGATGACAGGCATGAGCCCTAGCGTCCGGCTTTAATTTAGAACCTTACAGGTATATACTTTATAAGTATTTTTAATAAGCTGTGTAGTCATTTGTTCTAGCCTTAAAATGCCACCAATTCCCCATTGTCAAACATTCTAAACCCCAGCCACCAGTATTTTGCGAAAGCGTGCTTCATTTTCTGCTACAGAGGTGTCCCTGGAAAGGTGTACTAAAGCACCACCAATTAACTGTTCCGAAATGCCATTCCCATCATGGCATATTCAAGAACCTCCCGTGACTTCAGGGTCAAACATCAAGTTCAGCCTTAGCAACTGCCTTCACTTTTATAGGTCAAAATGATGGAAACCTGTAATTTCCTATAGCTCTGCCAGGTACCACTTCTGACAGTTCTCTCATATCACACATGGGCCTCCCTTCTATGGCTCTAGTCACAGCTGCCCTTTGGCATTCATTAATATGATTATTTGATTCACTTCTTGTCTTCCCTGGTAGACTGCAAGTTTCCTGAGGGCAAGGATCACATCTGCTTTCCTGCAGCATTGACTCATCCAGGTGCACACAGTAAATGACAGAATGAAGCAAAGAGCTTAATTTTCAAATTTCAGTGAGTAGGACCAGCAAGCGTAAAGGCCCTGGAAGCGGCACGAGCATGGTGGGCTCCAGAATCAGCAAGAGACCACTGTGGCAGGGGCTTCCCAAGCGGGCAGCAGCCATGGAGCTGGAGAGGAAACCATGGAACACTCACATGTATTCAAACACAACTGTCAAAAGTCCAAGTTTGAGCTTAAGAGATGCACAGTTCATATGGGCATCTCGTTCATAGTCATAGCCTCAGGCATTTGGGGATGGTCATGGTCCATTTCTGCCGCAGGGGTTAAGTTTTAAAGAAGGATATAATGAATTCTTCACTTACAGAAAGAATTTAAAGAAATAGGGCCAATTGCACCATTTTATAGATTTAAAAGTCAACATTTGTGGTTTCTCTGAATATCAAGTACATGACATCATAACAAGAGCTACTCAGTGCAATCTTCTACTTTTAAAGTTCATTCATCCAAATTATTTAAAGGGGAAGGAACTTTAAAAACTTATAGTCTAAAGAGGTACAATAAGACTATGAAATACAGTGAATCAGCTTCTCCTTAATACATCAAATGATATATAAAGCCAAAACTTACTAAAAACAATGTACTGGACTTTTTGGTATTTTGGAAAGAGGAAACATGCTACACGACCAGCTTTTTCATGGAAGGTGTGTTTTTATGAGGATGCAAAGCTATGGGACATAGGTACGAAAGGAAGGAGCAGCTGGTTCAGATTAACCACTTTTGTGGGAAATACAGATTCATTTTTAAAGTTCCATCCACTGTAATAATCTTTGATATAATGAACAGCCTCCCAAGTAAGTTTAAAAAAAACATCCAGTGGCTTACCAAGTTTTTGTCTTTTTCTTTTGAGATTCTGCCCCCTACAGGAGATCAAGCATTCTTACCTGAGGTAGAAAGCCAACATTCAAGCAGGGTACTAAGAACAACGAAAAGCAAACTGGTAAACCACAAGGATCACAAAGCAAACGGATGCAGCATTTTCTGGTGGAAGAAGGGGTATTAGGATACATAGAGAGAGACAGCTTTGGAGTGTGCCACACTGCACAAATGAAGACTTCTCCCCACCCCAAATTAGAAACCGGCCTCAGCCCCATGGATTAGAACTCCAAACCAAAGCATGAGGGGTCAAAGCCAAGCAGAGCAAATGAGGTCTAGACTGTGTCATAATCCCCGGATTCCCCACCACCATCCTTCCCCAGCCTCTCCTCCACCAGCCAAACCTAGTGAGCATGACATTTGAAAGCAAACGGGGCATTCTATAACACAGAACCTAAAGCAGCTGCCAGAAAGTTCTATTCCTGTTCATTAGATAATACGTTTCCTTTTCTTTTCCACTTAGCCTCCTTCTCCTTGGCTCTTTTACTCACCTTTCTTTGTCTTTTTCCTGTTTTCATTTCTCCAACGCTGAATGCAGTGGGCTTGCTGAATGGCACCCTCTACCCACATTTCTCCTTCCTCTAAATGCTAGCATGCCACCCATGCAGGACAGAAGGTGGGCAATACCCATTCTATCAGGAGGCAAACTTCTGAGCGGAAGGTGAACTAGGCGACAACTCTGTGTGACACCTGAGACTTTTCTTCCTTCCTTCAGCTGCTCCAGTCTCTAAGCTGAACTCTCCTCGCTTACCACAATAACACAACAGATTTGTTGACCCTACAGCAATCCAAAGCCACAGAAGTGCACAATAATTCTGGGAAATCTAGAGGTAAATTACTTAATAAATTGAATACCTGAACTTTGAAACTTATACACTAGTATAGGATGAGACTAAAAGGTCAGCAATTTCTAAGAAGAAGAACTACACAAAAACTCATGTCTCCCTATGTTAAAACCATTTTCCAAAAGTACCTGGCTGTCAGAACACAAGGTCTCTCCCATCTACAGACATATGCATATAGCCCAGTATGGCGTCTTAACAGGAATAGCACTTTTGATCTCTCCAAGCCCACCCGCAAGTTTCTGTCCATAGTCCCACAGTGAGATTACAGACCCCCGAGTCATGTCCACTTTGTGGTTCATTCTCACATAGCACTTGGAAGCCCTGCCTTCCAGGAGGCCCAGGCCTGCAAGACTCAGGGCAGCTGCACATCACTGCCCAGCTTTAGCCGCCTCACATCTTCTGGCAAGGCTGGCTTTCTAGAGTCTGCCTGAACAGCATTCAACAAGGCCAAGATCAATGACAGGTACTGACTGCGGACATTCTCTCGCCTAACGATTGTCCATAGTCAGCTCCGGGCCTGAATGTCTCTTGGGAGACAGTCTGTGACAGCCATCTTCACAGTGACCTTTGTTCAAGAAGGCAGAGGGAACAGAATCACAGTGGCCTCAGGAGGCCTGAGTTCCAGTCTGCTTAGGCTTCAGTCATGTCATTTTGATTTAATGGGGTACATCAGAGCTGCTTTTATTTATTCACCCGCATGGGATGAGGATGGGTGGGTGTTTTAACACGGCCAACTCCTTGGAGGAGAGAGGCTTCTTATGAACAGGAAGTACCCATGACCAGCCTATTGAGGGGATTTTTTAAGTGAATTCCCAGTAGAGGGTTCAGGATTATTCTTTAAAGAGCTTAAGGCTGAAAATCTGCTTCATACCTGCACATTTGAAACTCTGAGCAGTGAGTCCTCGTTCCAGAGACAAAGTCGTCAGAATGCTCAGGAAGCTGGTGGTCACAGACTGGCGCTTGTTCTTCCTGAGTTCACGCCCACCCGCCGGATCCGAGGGCTTGCTCCTCAGCGTGACTTGCAGGTTTTGCTCTGAGCTCCTTGCCACATTGGCAGCAGTTCTCAGAGCCTCCATCCACTCCTGAGCCCTCTGTCGGGTCTCAGCTCGGAGGCGGAGCACATCTTGGGGGAAAATGACTTGAAAGCAAGAGTCACAGCTGTCCAGGTTGTCCGCCTGGACAGCCAGACATACATCCACGTTGTAGCTCAGCAGCGGGTGCTCATCCAGCTTGCCGGGCTGAAAAGCCAGCAGGCAGGCCCTGCTCAGCACAAACGTACATGCCCTCCAGTTGTTCTGCACGGTCAGCCGGTAGAGGGTCCCCGATTTGAGGATGCTGTGGCACTGTCTGGGGCTAGCCACGGTGGGGGAGGGCAGCAGCAGCCCACTGGCTCGCCTTGGCAAACAACGACTCTGTGTGCAGTCAACATGGTGCTGGCCTGGTGAGCTGGCCAGCTCGTCCTGCCGTCCTACGTACCCCGGCACGGCCATGTGCACGACTTCCCACAGCTTCTGCCCCCAGTCCAAAGCCTCCCACGGCGACTCTGCCTTTAGCTGTAGCTGGGAGTCGTCATGCAAAACGGTGTCCACCATCCTGGCCTCCAGGTTGCCCAGAACAGATATGCTCTGGAAGTGTGAGAGCTGGAACGCTGCATGAGGGTTCTGATTCCCACTGCTGTCAAGGCTATAGAAGCACAAGCTGTAGGGCGAGAGTTCTGCATAACAGCTCTGCCAGCAGCTATCATGGTCCTTCCTAATCTCCAGGTAACCCTTCTTCAGAATGTTTGGGAACATCTGCTTATGTTCTAGAAAGAAAAAAAGTATTAATTAGTTATGAGAAGGCAGCTGCAAGAAGTCAAACAGATCAGAGGTAGACAGCCTCTGGTTCAAATGAATCAAAGTAAAAGTAGTGAAATCCCAAGACTGGAATTGGCAAGATGTAGCCGGAGGGAAATCCCAAGTCTGAAAAGCCGGACTAGAGTGGAACTACAAGTCCAAGAGTGAGTGAGTACAGGACATGTGACGCCAATGTGACATGCAGAGGTCTATGAGGAAAGCAGAAACCGTGGAACAACAGTGACCAGTCACGCCCTGAGGGTCTAGGAACCAGCCACACTTTGCCAGGTTCCTTGTTTTCTAGGTAACACCCTACAGTGTACCAGATACATGAAAGAGCTTTCCTTCTGCCACCTGACTTAACTAGTGGCCAATGCTTCTCTCTCTCCTTAAGTTGGCAAAGCCAGGAGGGGTCAGTGGAAAGGAAAGGGCATAAGGTATGCTGCTCACAAGCTCCCACTTCTCAGACACCATCAGCAGCCCTCAAGGCTAGTCGCAGGCCTTTTGTCTAGGAACCAGTTCTCTAGGCTTGACCCAACTGGCCCACATTTCAAGTCTCTGCTTAGATGGCAGCTGTACCTCCAAGCCTGACATGCTGTTTCTTGGTTTGCAATGCTCCTTCCCACTGTTTCAGTCAAGAACCACATGCCTACCCTCGTTCAGAAAAGGGTGTGTCCAGCCTCCCTCCCCACCACCTCACCCACACACGTGTCCCCCTGGGTGAGTATGACAGACACACTATTCCTCGACCCTGGGCTCTTAGTAGCTTATTTAAATGTCGGAACAAATAAAATAAATTTAATTTTTCTTAAGTCTGTCTTTCCTACTGGACAATAATCTCCACTGAGAGCAGGGGCGAAGTCTCTCTTCATCCTTACATCACAACATATGGAACAATGTCTGGTACACAGTAGGTGCTTAATAAGTACTTGGTGAATTAGAAATAGAGCTCCTAGCATAATGCTCAGCACACAGTAGGTATAACCCCCCCCTCCTCTTTTCTCCCTTCCTTCCTGTTTTGCAAGTTTATCTACTCATGCTATTGTAAATCAATGGTTAGCTGCAATATATACCAGTTTAGTGCTTGAATAAAAGGAGACTGCCACTTGAGAGACTGACTGCTACTTTTATCAGACATGAAAATGACATCCATGCAAGAGAGAGTACGCCTCCCTAGCAGAGATTTTAATTTCGGGGATTTCTCTCAATCTCTGCTGACACACATTGGAGACAGTCATAAACTGATGGAGCCATTCTCCAAAGATAAGTCACACAGCCAGAAGGCACGACTTCTGCTTCTGGCTAAACAACGAAGGAGCAACACAGACCGAGATCTCAGAAAAGCAGACGGCAGAGAACAGGAGCAAAACAAGGCAAGGCAAGGCCAGTGCCACCAGTTTTGCATCTCCGGTCCTGGCGTTCGTGAGTTTTCCCGTGGCAACTCAAGAGCCATTCATTTCTTGCAAGCCACACTCTTCCCTATGTAGAGGAGATAATGTGTTCGCAGGCTATCTTTCCCTCCTGATAATGCAATAAGGGAAGCACCACTGCCACCTCTCCCTCTCATTTCCATCAAGCACTGAGGACAGGCCAACCTTTTCCGTAATAAGACTTAAAGCCGTGTCTTCCTCTGTTCCCATCCTTCTGTGATCCGTTGGATCAGCGGAGTCCCTGAGCAAAATTAAAACCCTCTCTCTTGCTTTTAGCTAGAAACTTTCCTCTCCTCTTCTTACCTTTTTGAGAGCTCTGAACAACAGTTCCCAGGAATTAGAAATGCTACTTTAGTTGGCCCCAAACCAGCGACAAACCCAACTAAAACCTCACTTTTTCCTGACCGTTCAAGCAGGGGGCAAGTGTCAGCTTCTGGGCACTGAGTGAGAAGTGCCAGGGAATCTCCACAGTGCACTGCCTTAACGCAGGTGCTGCACCGTGTCCCAACATTGCTTCTGCACTCACTATGTTTCCTGCCTTGGTTCCTCTACCTCAGCATCCGCCCTCTCTCAACGGTACGTTAAGTGGAGACAGAAGAGAAAGGGTGTCCGTCATAAAAAATGGCCTATTCTTATGGGCTGTTTGTAGTATCATTACTTGAAAATAATAATTAAGAAGAAGACAGCAAATGTGATCAGGAAACAATTCTCTTGGGTGCCTATTTTTATCTGGAGGGCCTGTTTATAACATACCTTATTAATATTTTGCGTGTGAAGTACGCATTCTTTGATTGTAGAGGATTATCATTTATCTTTAATCTCTAACAACTGCTACTTTCTACTAGATCTGAAGTTTATTTTTAATAATTTTGCAAATGACAAATCGGAAACTATATATTTAAATCTAAGCTCTCATTAATTTACCATACTTCAACTTTTGTTTTCCCCAGACCATTTCTTTTTCTTTTTTTAAGTTGGAGCCTCACTCCATCGCCCAGGCTGGAGTGCAGTGGCACACTCACGGCCACCCCAGCGTTGACCTGCTGGGCTCCGGCAATCCTTCCGCCTCAGCCTTCCAAATAACTGGAACTACAGGCAAACGCCACCATGCCCAGCTAATTTTTTAAATTTATTGTAGAGACAAGGTCTCGTCAAGTTCCCCGGCTGGTCTCGAACCCGTGGGCTCAGGCAATCCAACCCGTGGCCTCAGCCTCCCAAAGTGCTGGGATGACAGGCTGAGCCACCAAGCCCTGCCCCCAGGCCATTTCAACAGTTTTATTAACTCTACACATATTCTTTTAAAATGTTCAATTTCTCCAGGCACGGTGGCTCACGCCCATATCCCAGCACTTTGGAAGGCCGAGGTGAGAGGACTGTCTGAGCCCACGGGTTTGAGACCCGCCTCGGCAACTTGGTGAGACCTCATCTCTACAATAAATCAGAAAGTTAGCCGGGCATGGTGGCACATGCCTGTAGTTCTAGCTACTTGGAAGCCTGAGATGGAAGGATCTCCTGAGCCTAGAGGGTCGAGGCTGCGGTGGCCGTGAGTGTGCCCCTGCACTTCAGCCTAGACGACAGAGTGAGACTCCAACTCAAAAAAATAAATAAAACAAAATAAAATAAAATGCTCAATCTCACAAATGAATGACATCATAAAATCATGAATTGAATAATGATTTCACAAACGAGTAACACGATCACAAAGGAAAATGGCTGACCCTTGAACAACACCGGGCTGAAATGCCTGGGTCCGTCACGCCTGGATTTCTTCCCTTTTCTGACACCCCTGGAGCAGCAAGACTGCTCCTCCTGCCCCACGTGCTCACGGGAAAGGCACTGAGGATGAAGACCTCTGCCGTGGCCCGCTTCCTCTTAAGGAGCAGTGAGGACATTTTCTCTTCCCTGGGATTTTCTCAATAACATTTTCTTTTCTCTAGCCTACTTCATTGTAGGAATACAGTATATTACATATATACTGTACACACACACATATATATAACATACAAAACATGCTTTGATTGTTTATGTTATCACTAAGGCTTCTGGTCAATAGTAGGATATTGGTAAAGTCTGGGGGGAGTCCAAAGTTACACCTGGATTTTTGACTGCAAAATGAATCATATTACCTAATACCATAAGTGACTCAGATAGGATCACTGACAAAGATTATCACTATTTGCCCACAAAAATAGAGAAAGATTTCAAAAGCATCAAAGACCTAAATGTAAAACCTCAAATTATAAGAATCATAGAAAACTCAGGAGACACCCTTACAGAAATTGGAACAGGCAACCAATTCCTGATCAAAACCCCAGATGCCCATGCCATAAGAGATAAGATAGACAAGTGGGACCTCATCAAACTGAAAAGTTTCTGCAAAACAAAAGAAACCATCAAGAGAGTGGGGAGACAGCCCACAGAACGGGAAAAGATATTTGCCAACTGTACATCACTGTATATCCTTCAAAGGTCTAACATTCAGGATTTACAAGGAACTCAAATGCACTGAAAGGAAAAAGACAAACAGCTCCATTAAAAAATGGGCAAAAGACATGAATATACACTTCTCAAAAGAAGATATATGAGCAGCCAATAGACACATGAAAAAATGTTCAACCTCACTAATCATCAGAGAAATGCAAACCAAAAGTACACTGAGATACCACCTAACTCAGTATGAATGACCACCATTAGTAAAACAAAAAACAACAGATGCTGGAGAGGATGCAGAAAAAGGGGAACACCTCAACACTGTTGGTGGGCATGCAAATACAAACTAATTCAACCTCTCTGGAACACAATGTGGTGATTTCTAAAACTAGAAACTGACCTTCCCTATGACCCAGCAATCCCCTTCTGAGAATATACCCAGAGGAACTCAAATCATTCTACAAAAAATATACTTGCACATGCATGTTTATTGCAGCACTATTCACAATAGCAAAAACATGGAACCAAACCATGCTGCCCATCAAAACTGGCCTGGATTTTTAAAAGTGGTACACATATACAATGGAATATTATGCAGCCATAAAGAACAAAATTATGGACTTCGCAACAACTTGGATGGATTTGGACTCTATCATACTCAGTGATCTATAGAAGCAAAGAACTGAGTACCACATGTTCTCACTCATAAGTGGACCGTGAACACCTATCAAAATACTACAAAAAAGGGATTAGCAGTAGCAGGACACTGCTGGGTGGGGTGGAGGGGGAGAGGCACATAATATTAATAAGAGTGCCTGATCCTAATCCAGGAGAAGTGAGGACCAGTGGGAGGCCCGAGACTTCACCTGCACCTAAACCACTTAGACCCGTAATCCTCACATACACCCCACAACTTCAAAATTAAATTAAAATTTAAAAATAGAGGAAGAGAAGCGAGATGAATCACTGTGCCTGAATGTCCTATGAAAACCATGAGACAATTTCCTCACGAGAAAGAAAACCAGAACTGTCTGTGTCCCACTGCTTCCCATTGTGGCTGGTGTGAAGACCTACCTCCTCCCCGCCTTACGAAGACACCCTCCCTTTCC